TATCTGAAGAAAATCTTAAATACGAAAACATTGGTGAATGCCACAAATTCTCCTAAATCACTCGTACGCACAACTTAAGAAAAAAATCTGTGCGTACGAACGGTTCTTGCATGAGGCCCAATGTTTTTAAGACTGTTTCACTTACCAAAATTTTCAAGATGCATCGTCTCAAAACAAGTCATTATTATATTTACTAAATTTATCTCTGGACATGGTTTTGACCTCTGTTAAGTCTGATGAGAGGTTTTGACTTAAAGTTTGAAAAATATATTTGGTAAGATTTGACATTTTTTGCAGTGTATACACTATCARTCTTGTTTTTCTCCTAAATGAAACCTGTTTTAAAAATTGTTTTTGTTTCTCTTCACTGCTCATAATGTATAACCTGGTGGGTTACAGATAAACAGATTTATTATTTTAAAGTCTTGTGTTAAAGTTTAACTTCCTGCTTTTTACCATATAAAAAAAACAACAGATTTAGATGGATTTATCAACAAGATTTGAAGTGATTACAAAGCAGTAAAAAATAAGTATATTGTTTTTGTTCCTTTACTGCAGAGAGCTCTCAGTGATCAACAAGGGGCAGAAAACCCAAAGAGTCCAAGGAGTCCACGTCTGGCCTCCCCGCTGGCCTGGTAACACACACATGGAGATCACCATAAACTGGACTGTTACAGCATCTAAAGCATTAAACACACAAACACACATTTAACGTGCAGTACTTGACAAACATGTTCATTTTCACTTAAGAAAGAAAGGRGAAGTTAAATTGAGGTCAAATATATGTTACAGTATGTTAAAGATGTGAACTTTAGGTTTGTGTCAGTGTTTCATTTTAAGGATCAATCTAATAAAAATCACCAGAACACAACTTTATTTTATGTTCAGGATATMTATACTGTTTGGACGATAGTCCAATAGTTTAAACTATGTTTCTCTAAGCACCCATGTGGAGCAGAAGAATTACACATAAAGGTCTTTGTGATGTATTAAGACATACAGTAGATATATTTAATCTTGAAATAGATAAACTCTTAATGCTTATGTTTATCAGACACCCACCACATTGAATGTAACGTAGACTTTTTAAGAATTTTGTATCTGCTTGAAGTGGAGTTCAATGGAAAAGTCATGAATAATAACTATCTTACCTGTTGCAGATAGGTCTTTTAATTACCTCGGTTTGGAGAAATAGTTTAATTCTGACCTGATTGATGAGTGAAAACAAGGGTGTCAAACTCGTTTTCCCTGATGGTCACATGATGGTGGTCCTCAAAGGGCCAATTGTAATTGACTTTGACGTTTTGTGTTTATCTTTGACCAAAGACGAAACCTCATGTTCCTCGTCTCATTGCTACAGGTGACCACCGTTAAACAATTACTGAGCTCTACATGGTATTTTGTGCACAGAAACTATTTTAACATGTCCTCTTACAAACACTGAATGCAGCAAAATAGAGATTTTACATGGCGAACTTCTCACCTGACGGCTACTTTTGAACCCTGTGCACCTCCAGCCAGTGGTRAGGTGTCATTTTGTGGGAAAAAGACTCGACCTGCGTTATGGGAGATGCATTCTGGCTTTAAAGCAGCTTATTTTAAGACAATACATCTTTGAAGTTCTCACGGGCCACATTAAAAGCCTTGGTGGGCCACATTTGRCCCACAGGTCCWAGGTTTGACACGTGCCAGAGACTAATTAAGCTATCTGTACCAGGTGAGATGTTATTTGTTCAGAACATTTCCAGTTAACCCCATTTCAAAAGATCTGACCAATTGTTTTAAGTAAATTCTCGTCAGCTGCCCAGATAGCAGATAGCTTTATTTAATTATGTTTTTTTTCCCTGAGTTTTGTAMGATACTTACAGCTTGCAAATAGGAGCCGTGTGTGAGTGTTTGTGTGTTGGTGCTTTATGAGAAGACTGCAGAAATGAGATGATGTGAATGTTTAGCTGTGCTCCACTGTTAGATACTGCGCTCAGTATGTTGTGATAACTGTCCAGAGATGCTGAAATGTCTGAACCATCTTCTTCTTATTGTTCTAGTTTTTCTTTTCTTCTACGGTCTTTGATTGAATTTTAATGTGTTTTCTGTGTAAAGCATGGTGTTTAAACCACCGAGAGGACAACAATAACCTTAGATTTGTGGTGTAATCTGATTTTCAGACAAATAATAATGCAGCATACAATACTTTATCAGATAAGCCTTTATTAAAAAAAAACAACTAAGCTTTCAAGTTCAATTGTTAAGGCGAGTTATTTTTAGATCTTATAATTATTTTAAGCTTTATTTTCTAATGATATATTGGTATAATGTTTCTTTCAGCTCTAATTACAGAATGTACCATTTAAAGCACTGTTGTTCATTTAGGATCTATGAAGTGTAAAGTCTGTATTTTGTATTGTAACAAAACAATGCAACCAAATATAAAGACTTGTATTGGGTCTGCCTTTGCTTTTTATTGCCTGGCTGCCACCATGAATGTCAGACGTGTGTGTAAATACCTATGTCTTCACATGTTTGCTTTTGTCTGTTAGCAAAATATCTAATGAACGACTGGATGAACAGTTCTGGAACTCTCAGAAAGTAATCTCTGGATGTGCATCTACAACTGATTAACATTTGAAGTTGGCCCAATTCAAGATGGCCATTGCAGCCAGCTGAACAATGAAGCACAAAATAACGGGCATAAATCAGTAAAACTCACAGATCCGGAGCTAAAACTTAGCGTAATAGTAGCTCTGCAACATATACTGCAAGTTCATGCACCAATAAATCATGAGGTCTTTAAAAATTTGCATGAGACAACATGGATACTACTTCAGGCAATACTTTTATTTCTGTGCTGTTTTTTTTACACTCTTAAATTTAAAAAAATACTGTTTTGCATCAAAGAGAATATACTGGGGCTTTATAAATGAATTTATTGCACTCATTCCTGCAACATTTTTTAGTGTGTGAAGATTTTTATACTCCTTTACAGCCAGTTTATCTGCCCTCTGTGCACATGATGAGTTATCTGTCATGATGAGTCAGTATTGTACGTACCTGTCCTGGACTGGCTGAACACATATGCGTTACACTGCTTTCTACAATCTTATCACTACCTGAACACCTCCTGAGTGGTTTTTGTGCATTTTTTAAGTATTAAACTTCATTTAGTTATGTGCTGACAAAAGACAAAGTGTTTTTTTTCTTACACACCTCCTCATAAGGTGTCATAATCTCTTACATTTTAACTCAACCTTGTAGCGGACTCGGTGGAAGTGGAGTTTGATCTCCTGCCGTGCGGACAAGAATTCAAGACGAAGAGATTCCTGCGCTTATCTTTATGTAATTAGTGACACGGTGTTTTATTTGGGGCGAAAAGAGACGGCTTAATGCAGGTGGAATGGTACAGTGAAGATTTAAAGAAAGGTGAGGTTTTTTTTCTTTTCGGTAAAAATAGCGTAAGGCTGAGTTGCAGCTGTTTGTGTTATTACTGTGTAGTTCAGATTGGAGGAGCGTAGGGGTGCACTTGACTGCTGGTTTCTGGCTGATCACCAATCATTAAAAAGTCTGACCTGCTGATTCCAATTTTGGCTGATACTGATTTTTTTAAACAACGGATACTGTCAGGTGTTATAAGGTAACAACACACCTTGAACAATACATTCAAAACAATACAAACTTATTTTAACTATAGGCAGTGGCTGTTTTTCAGATCTTTGTGGAGGTAGAGGATAAGCCAATATTATTCCCCGATTTATCGAAGTATCAGCCAATATCCGATTTCCAAAAATTAAGGAAATCGGTGTCAATAAATTGGCCGGCAGATTTATTGGTGCACGCCTAGAGGAAAGATAAAATTTGTAACTTTTTGCCTTTAATTAACAAGAATCAAACTGACCAACCAATTTTGTACTCAAGACCACTGCTTGATGGTCTACTCAGGCCCAGTCCCAATGCTCAGTGCGCACCCTACGCCCCTCTGTGAAGTGTGGATTCAGTCAAAGTGCACATAAGTGTTTGAATTGCGCAGGTTACAAGTGTGCAAAAAAATTGAGAATTGGGACAGTACAGATTACATCATCAACTTGCGTCTCTGCGTCGTAACTGCGACATCCAACATGGCATTTTTTTATTGAACCAATACAACTGAACAAAGACAGAAAATAAACATACATACAGTTTGTTAACAACCATTTCACATTTACATATCTTTTAATTATCTATTCTAATTATCCATTCTATATCATTCCTCAATGTCAAATTATGAAAAGTTTAAGGGATCACCATGAATATTAACTAAGTAAACCAACTGACTTAGACATCTTTCGTAAAAGTAAACCAAACAATAAAAATAACAAAAACAACATCAACAATAAATAATTAAACTAAGGGACAAGAAATAAAAATAAAACAATAACAATGAAATCAAAATGGGTTTCAATCAGATTCAATTCACTTTTCAATGCTTTATCAATTGGAAGAGATTTTGTGAAACATTTGTGAATATAAAATTTAGCAAACAATGTGATATTATTTGTCAAATATTCATTTTTTAATTGATATTCCATATTTAATGTCTTTCCAGGACAAGGGACTTATTTGGGGAGAGCGATTAACAAGTTGTGTACTTAATTCCAAACGTGTGTGTGTGTGTGTGTGTGTGTGTGTGTGTGTGTGTTTTGGGGCGGGGGGCACGGTTTTTTCCCTCACGTCATCAGGGGGCGTGGCGATCGGGGGGGGGCGTGACGATCGGGGCGTGTCGGCAGCTTGCAGTACTCGATCGACACGCCCCCGTAAATACGTAAGTAGGCGCACTCAGAACTACACGCGCCTTGATTTCATGTTGTTTATTTTGATCCCGACCGCAAACAGAGAGCAGAGATGGAGATGGCCACTCAGGTAGGACTTCTACACGTTGTTAAAAAAAACAAAAACACAAAACCTGTATTTTTAATAAGAAATAAGACTGTCAATGAGCTGACCTGACTGCAGCTAATGTCCAACTCCAGTCCTCAAGGGCCGGTCTCCTGCAAGTTTTAGATTCGTCTCTGCTTCAACACAGCTGATTCAAATAGATGATTTGCCTTCTCAGTTTGGTCTGCAGAGGCCCATTAATTAAGCATTCCTTAGGTTCAGCTGTGTTGAACCAGGGCAGCACCTAAAACATGCAGGACACTGGCCCTTGAGGACCGAGTTTGGACTCCACTGAGCTAGACCCTTCTCCCGAAGTCCGCCAAAAATGCAGACTTTGCGGAAGTACCGAAAATGGGCGGGGCGAAGGGCGGATGGGGAGATGGGACTACGCACTCAAACCCTTCAACATGAACGCGCATTTGAAGTGCACGAGGGTGGGAGTATGGTTATTGGGACAGGGCCTCTGTCTTGTCTAGGTCTCAGGCATTGTGGACTCTGGGTTTTATTTCAAGAACTGTGGGAAAATCCCTTAACTACTAGAATATTGTCCGATTTATTCGTTAACATTTTTGCTTATGTCGGATGTAAAACATACAGATTCAAATCTAAGTGTGACTCATTGTTTTCACTCACATGTGGYACTTAAAGTGAGCACTGGTCATCTGGGAGCAGGAGAAAATGTCTAACATAAATCATAATGTATTTGTAAAACAACATCCAGGAGAAAGCAAACAGCGATTTGCAAATTGTGTTTTACACTTACTTACTTACTTAACTCAAATGAGTGGAAATTGTTTTCCATAACTTGGTTAAGTAAATCCGAGTGTAGTGTACTGTATGCAGGGTTCCCACAGACCCTTAAAATCCTTCAAAGTTTGTGAATTTGAAAAAATGATTTCAAGGCCCTGGAAAGTTTGTTAAAAACAGCCAAAAATTACACTTGTCCTTGAAAGTCCTTGAATGTTTTTTTGGGGGGGATTGAAGTTCTCTATTCACGACTGATTTTCATCATCTGTAAAAATAATAATAGTAATAAAATAAAAATTAAATTTGCTGTGGTGGGTAACTCAGGATTACAGTAAACTGACATGGCTTTCAACAAATAACGTGAGCCATAGTTTTACCCAGTCAGAGCAGAGTATGGTGGGTCGTTCTTTCTGATCCCAGGTGAGAGCACCACAGCTCCTCCTTTCCTCATTGAGCGTCTGGACATGTCCTCCTCACAAACTGAGCTGCCAAACTTCCCAGGACATAATTACATGTCCATGTATTGTAGATACGAATGTAGGGTATACATTTAATACACATTATTTCATTGATTCTGACTCAAAAACTTTATGTTGTTCAGTTTTTCATTGAATTTACATGATATTAAACCTGTAACATTCTGCAGAAGCAGTAGGTAATTACCATTGCGCGTGGTTCTTGAATTTGAGGAAATTGGTTCTGGAAAGTCCTTGAAAGGTCCTTGAACTTGACGTTGACCAAGGTGTGGGAACCCTGTGTATGTTTTTTAGGGCACTGCTTTTAATTTTTTATTTAATTTTTTTCTGGTCTTTGTCTTGGCTCAGTCCAGCCATAGGTATTAGTCTCAGTAACACTCTGGTTTCGGTCTTGCAGCACTAAATATAACCAAAAAATGGTGGTAATTTTTTAATATTTGGATATTTTTCATTGAACTCAGCTGTTTGTAGTTCCATCACAAGAAAATGTATTTATTTTTTGGTTTCCAGATGACTTTTGATCGAGCAACAACCAGTTTGTTCCCAACTCAGGCTCCGTCTAAGGGGGGCAGCACCCTGGTCACAGTGGATATAGTGGTGCTGGTGGTCTACTTTCTACTGGTTCTGGCTGTGGGATTCTGGGTAAGAACAACAGTATTATAGATTTAAACAGTAGGCTTTTTAAACTCTAACTTTGCATTGGCATGAACTGAGATCTGAGTTATAAAACTGCACACCAGTGTGTTTTTGTTCTTTTGTGTCTGTGTTGTCAGCAATATCAGAAAAACTGAGTTTAACCAGGATTTATTAGTTTTTCTACCTAAGAACTACTGATCTGTATCAGTTTTTTCTCACCCAGGCTGCATAAACAAATCAGTACAAGTAAAAAAGAAGTGCAAAAAACTGAGAAATGAGCAACATTTTAATAGTTTTGATGTAAAAAATGTTGTAAACTTATCAGGTTGGATGCAGGAAATTATGGTTTGTATAATAAAGCATTTTCTTTTATACACAGTGGGTAAAATAAGTATTGAACACGTCACCCTTTTTCTCAGTAAATATATTACTAGAGGTGCTAATGACRTGAAATTTTCACCAGATGTYGGTAACAACCCAAGTGATCCATACATACAAAGAAATCAAACCATAAATGTCCAGAAATGAAGTTATTTGTAATAATGTGGAATGGCACAGGGAAAAAGTATTGAACACAATTGCTGAAATTTATCTAATACTTTGTACAAAAGCCTTCGTTGTCAATGACAGCTTCAAGACGCCTCCTGTATGGAGAAACTAGTGGCATGCATTGCTCAGGTGTGATTTTGGCCCATTCTTCCACACAAACAGTCTTCAAATCTTGAAGGTTTCGTGGACCTCTTCTATGAACTCTGATCTTTAGTTCTTTCCATAGATTTTCTATTGGATTCAGGTCAGGTGATTGGCTGGGCCATTCCAGCAGCTTTAGTTTCTTTCTCTGAAACCAACTGAGAGTTTCCTTGGCTTTGTGTTTGGGCTCATTGTCTTGCTGAAATGTCCAGCCACGTTTCATCTTCATCATCCTGGTAGATGGAAGCAGATTTTTATCAAGAATGTCTCTGTACATTTTTCCACTCATCCTTCCTTCAATTATTTGAAGTTTGCCAGTACCATATGCTGAAAAACAGCCCCACACCATGATGTTCCCACCTCCAAACTTCACTGTTGGTATGGTGTTTTTGRGCTGATGTGCAGTGCCATTCGACCTCCAAACATGATGTGTATTCTGGCATCCAAACAGTTCAATGTTGGTCTCATCTGACCAGATTATATTCTCCCAGTATTTCACAGGATTGTTTAAATGTTGTGCAGCAAACTTTAAAGGAGCTTCAACATGCTGTTTCTTCAGCAGTGGAGTCTTGCGTGGTGAGCGTGCATACAGGCCATGGTGGTTCAGTGCATTACTTATTGTTTTCTTTGAAACAATCGTACCTGCTGATTCCAGGTCTTTCTGAAGCTCTCCACAAGTGGTCCTTGGCTCTTGGACAACTCTTCTGATAATTCTTTTCACTCCTCTGTCAGAAGTCTTGCGAGGAGCACCTGGTCGGCGTCAGTTTATGGTGAAATGATGTTCTTTTCACTTCTGAATTATGGTCCCAACAGTGCTCACTGGAACCTTCAGAAGTTTAGACATTCTTCTGTAACCGATGCCATCATTATGCTTTGCAACAATAAGGTTGTGAAGGTCTTGAGAGAGCTCTTTACTTTTACCCATCRTCAGATGGTTCTTGTGTGATACCTGGCCATCATTTGGGACTGAACCAGCAGATATTAACTTGCACTGACAAGGGGCAGGCTTGCTTTCTAATTACTGAGAGAGTTCAGCTGGTGTCTTGGCTTTCCATGCCTTTTTACACCTCCCTTTCTTCATGTGTTCAATACTTTTTCCCTGTGCCATTCCACATTATTACAAATAACTTCATTTCTGGACATTTATGGTTTGATTTCTTTGTATGTATGGATCACTTGGGTTGTTACCGACATCTGGTGAAAATTTCATGTCATTAGCACCTCTAGCAATATATTTACTGAGAAAAATGTTGACGTGTTCAATACTTATTTTACCCGCTGTATTTTATTTACCAAAAATAAAATAAAAAAGCAACTTTGCTTAACTGAGATTTTATTTTTTTTTATCTATCTATCTGTCTGTCTGTCTGTCTGTCTGTCTGTCTGTCTGTCTGTCTGTCTGTCTGTCTGTCTGTCTGTCTATAATACATGATTATTGGCACTTATGACTTAAAATGTTTCCTCAAAAACAATAAAGAACAAAAGATTCTTTTGAATTCTATGTGATCTAAATGAGTCACAGATTTCTGGACACAGACATATCTGAGGCTACGACGCAGCAGCTGGTTGTAAAATTACTGTATTAGGAAATTTAAGTCATAAAAGTCAATTTGACAAACCAGTGAAGTTTGAAAAACGTCAGGTAGACAGGCTGTGTGTGAACAATAACAAAATGATTAAACAACATTAACTAACACGGTAAGCTGTTCGAAACTGATTTAAATCATTTGTGATGTGAACTATTATTTCCTGTTACTTTTTTAGTCCATGTGGAGGACGAAGCGCAGCACTGTGGATGGATACTTCTTGGCTGGGAAGAGTATGACCTGGTGGCCAGTGAGTCAACATCAATATGATAAAACCTTAAAAAAAACTAAACACTTTGCTGATTTTAAGGCTAAAATTTTTTTCAGAGTTTAATCCTAATCAAACTAAAAGGAAAAAAAAAACACACATTATAATGAGATCAAGATGTTCTGCTGTTTGAAAAAAACTGATCTAGATTTTTAAATCTATATTTAGGTGGGAGCTTCTCTGTTTGCCAGTAACATTGGCAGTGGGCACTTCATTGGAATGGCCGGATCTGGAGCAGCAGCAGGAATTGGGGCGATTGCGTATGAATGGAACGTAAGAGAGAGAGAATATAAATCTAATAAATCACATTAATGTTTTTTTTTTCAGTATCAACAATTTTTAACATGTTGCTTTATGTTGAAAATAGGGAATGTTTATGGTTTTGCTCCTGGGGTGGCTTTTCCTGCCAATTTATATTTCCTCAGGGGTGAGTTATTTACACACACACACACACACACACACACACACAC